CCCCAAAACCCCAAAACCCCAAAACCCCAAAACCCCATAAGGCCGGATAAAGTGCAGAAATTAAGTAATATTATAGTTTAATCATAGGAAATGATGGCAAATGATTTAATCGATGATGAGAGAAACCACTCGAACAATGTTACCTATGAAGTCTTGATTCACCCTTCGAATCCTTAAGAGGAGAGTTTCGAAGAGGAGGGATCAAGTGTGAGCAGAGTCTAGTCAAAATAATTGAATGGCAGCAAGGTTGATCACTCTGAGAGCAACTCAAAAGATCTGATGATAGAGCATTCTCATTCTGTAGCTTCAAACTTAATTCAATTACCTAATACTTCAAATCTCAGAAAACCGATTTCAAGAGCAAAGGATAGAAAAGCTAGAAAAGAAAGCATTGCATCAAGCAGTGCAGGAGATAGCAGGAAGAATGGTAGGTGGTCGATGATGGAGCACGTGAGATTCTTGGAGGCTTTGAAGAACTTTGGGAAAAATTGGAAAAAGGTAGAGGAGTATGTGGCCACAAGAACTAGCACCTAGGCGAGGTCGCATGCACAGAAGTTCTTTGCAAACATCATTAAGCATAACATGACGATGGAGGACTTCCTTGAGAGCATCTCCCACGATACCCTTAATCAGCTCCGAAAAATAGCACAAAAAAGTAGTGACAAAGTTGGGCCTAATGGAGAGCCAGCTGAGGAAGAAATGAGTGAGCCTGAAATACTTAAACTTCTCATGATGCACATGTCAAAGAACCATCATGAGGATGAGCTTGAGGCTTTCGGTGATCCTGAATTCAAGATGCAGAACTAGCTTAAGATTGAAAGTTCATAAACAATCGCAGAGTAGGACTCTAGACTAAGAAGTCAAAGTGAATTCATCAGCGTTAGTAGCGCTACTAGAAAGGCTTCAACAATGATAAGCACTAGCAGTGGAATCGCAGGAGCTGCTAGCAGGCGTAAGCGTTCAGCTAAGATTAAGACTTCGTAGCTGGAGTAGGCTACTTTGGCAGAGGTAGCAGGGGACTAGCTTTAGAACGGCTTTCAAAACTCTGATATCCTCAACTAGTAACAGCATTCTAATCATGTAATTGTAAGTGAAAGCCAAAACGTCACCTACAATCACTGTCACTCAGATATGAATACTATTCAGGATTAGTAGTTGATTTATGGCGACAACTAATTGAATGGGGACTAGTAATAACTTCAACCATTTGATGATGCTAATTTTGCGAGCACAAGTCTTAAAGCATAGTAAGATTTAGACTTGGAGCATAAGAGCTATTTTGACAACTAAACACTGTGCTAGGAAAGTATGTTTACACCAAACTCTACTCTCAGAAATAAGAGAAGAGCTCTCAAGAACAGCAGCTAATTTATTAGTTTCCAAAATGAATTCGAAAACCTCCCAAGCAACTACAACTATGGAACAGTTTTCGGGGACATTAGTATTAACTAGCCTTAAACTGATATCAAGATTGAGGACAATGAAATGCTTGTTCAGCATCACCATTAGCATCACAGCGATGAGTTAAATAGAAACTTACTCCACTCAACTGAATTGAATAGGAATTTGCTATTGACTTAACATGCTCTTCCTTAACAGTAGCATTCAAATATGAGTCTAGATCTAGGAATCACTAATTCTACTAGTAACTATCAGAATGTAACAAGTTCTGTACTCCCCTTCTCACACTTGGCTGCCATCCCCAACAATAACCTCCCCAAAGGTTATCTTGGAGACGCCTTCAGCCATAGACAATCAAGAATATCCTAGGACATGCTTGCAAGTTCTGCTTTAGGTCACCATATTAACCATAGTAATAATTTGAATAACAACAACTAAAATGTGAACCCTAATGGCAACTCAATCCTTATCGCTCAGTCTACCACACTTAACACTATATCAAACGGCACAATGCACAATGAGGCATCTATCAACGTAAGATCAAGATGTGGCTCTTTATTTGATATCGATGGATTTTACAAAGAAACTAACCACCACTTCGATGACTAGATAAGCGTAGGAGGAGGGTTAAATAGCAGTCACTCAAAGACACCCTTGTACAGCCATAGTTTGTTTATTAGGAAGTAATTCTAGTATTAGAGCTGAAATTAGTAATAGTGTGCCAGCTCACTCTAGGCATTTAATTATGAGGGTGATCTTTATGTACAAGAAGATCAAAGTGAAAAGCAATTGACAGGAGATTTCCTTCAGATTAAACTAAAGTATTGAATGATAGGTTGAAAGAATTAAACGATCATACTTCACACCCAGGTTTATTCTCACCAAAGGTGAGCTATAAATGTTACTTAAAAAATTCACACAAATCATTTAATACTCAAACCCACCCACTATACCTTTTTAATCTTCAAATAGTATATTAGTCTACTTATAATTTAAAACCACTAATTATTTTATTTTATACCACTCTCAAGTCTGATGAATCAATAATTTGGGGTTTTGGGGTTTTGGGG